AAGGAATATGGGCTCTGGAATCAGGTAGACATGTGTCCATACTTTGGTTCTAATGTCATAACCTTGTGAATTAAGTAAACTCCCTGAGCCTCAATTTTCTTATTGTTAAGTCATCTTCTTAAATGGGCAATTGGTATTAAATGACTAATACATAGGAGTATTAGGACTAATACATATGAATGATAATTCCCTTCCTCTTCTTTCCTAACTAGAAGGCAGGGTACTTCTTCATCAGCCCTTATCCCCACATAATTTCATCACAGACAATTTCATTGTGCTTTGTACCACATGGAAGTCCTTGCCCACCAATGTGAACACTGTCTCTTGTCTGCCACCATTAGTGCTTCTCAGAGGCAGCTTGTTATCAGGAGGCAAGAAAGGTATCAAAAGTTGTTGGACTAACAGTTGACCAAACTTGACCAAGCCTAACCTTAACATATATATAATAGCATTTCTAGGACATCAAGTTCTTGCTATGGTTCCAAATAAAATGCTCTCTATATGAAAAATCCTTGTTGTCAAATCCTTCTACTTCATGCTACATGACAAAAGCAGCATCTTATGCAGTTCTACCACCACCCTCAGTATAATAAAGACAACAAGAATTCTGGTCAAATCTCCACCTCCCCAACATCACCAAAAATGGCATAGATGGCTAGACCTGAGAGGGGGATCCACCAGCTCATCCCAGCACAGAGTTCTATTTGTATTCATGCTGAATAGTATTTCATTTCCTACAGCAACTCCTCCTATAAAACAAAAAACTTTTTGAAGGTTAAAGGACATTCCAAAAACTGGATTCTAGAAGGCTGGTCATACAACATTACAAGAAACCAAAGTCAGGCCAGGTACAGTAGTTCCCACCTATAATCCTAGCACTTGGGGAGGCCAAGGTAGGAGTACTGCTCGAGGCCAAGAGTTCAAGAGCAGCCTGAGCAAGAGCGAGACCCCATCTCTACAAAAAACAGAAGAATTAGTTGAGTGTGGTGGTATGCACCTGTAGTCCCAGCTACTCAGGAGGCTGAGGCAGGAGGATCACTTGAGCCCAGGAGTTTGAGGCTGCAGTAAGCTATGAAGAGGCCAGTGCACTCTATCCCAGGCAACAGAGCAAGACACTATCTCTGAAAAAAAAGCCAACCAACCAACCAAAGTAACCAAAGAATCTGGGATAAGCAAGGAAAAGGAAACTGCAAATAAAAGTGTACAAATCTTAGCCAAGGACAGTGGCTAGAGCCTGTAGTCCCAGCAACTCAGGAGGCTGAAGCAGGAGGACCACTTGAGCCCAGGAGGAAAAACCTGAAGAAAATAGTGAGACTTTGTCTCTAAAATGTAAAAATAAAAAAATTTTAGAAAAATACAAAATGAAAAAGTTTACAAATCTTCCTCACAAGAAAATGCTTTGTTACACTTTTTGTGCACTTAGAATATTGAGCAATCTCAAAATCATTTCCAGTCCAATACCTGAAATCAATTGGTCTTGTGGACATTCTGAGATGAGCACTATAAACTGTGGTACAAATTTGATTTTCTCAAAAACAGCAGCAATAAAACTCAAAAATAAACATGAACCTCTGCCTCAAAATAAATCAGCTAACCTAAAAGGTCTAATGTATTGGGTTTTTCAGTTCTATTGGCTTTTTCATTAGATTTTCATCAAAATTTTTAGGGGAACCCAAGAATTTATGTCATGGGCAAATATATGCACAAAAGAAGACATTAGGGAAAGGTGTAATTCTGATTACAAAAGAGAAGTATTGAACTGAAATCAATTAGTGCAAAATTTCACATAGGGCCACTCTAGGCAACAAAAGTCCTAAAGAGAATTAATCAACAAATATTTCCTAAACACCAGATATGCCTCAGCATAATGGCACAGGAATATGCAAATCAGTTTCTGTGTCTCAGTGGTGCTTGTGGTCTAACTAAAGAATAGAACATTACAAGTAAGCAGGCCACAGCAAAAAGGCACCTGCCCAGGAGGTAAAAGATCACAGCTCTGACCCCAACTCCGCCCCAACTCAATGTCTGTCTGTCCTCCAGCAAATCACTGAAACTTTTACTGTCTCATGCAGAAGAAAAGGGGTTTGGATGGTTTCTAAGCCCTCTTTTCACTATGAGTCTACAAATGCAAGTTCAAAGACAAGGGAGAGGAGCTGGGTCTTTAAGAATTGGTAGGACTTGAATTGACTGATGTGAGAAGGAAAGATATAACAGGGAAGCAGCATGAAAGTATTAATAAAAATAGGCATGGGGCAGGGTGAGGTGGCTCACGCCTGTAATCCTAGCACTCTGGGTGGCTGAGGCAGGCAGATAGCTCAAGGTCAGGAGTTCCAGACCAGCCTGAGCAAGAGCAAGACCCCGTCTTTACTAAAAATAGAAAGAAATTAATTGGCCAACTAAAAATATATAGAAAAAATTAGTATGCCTATAGTCCCAGCTACTCGGTAGGCTGAGGCAGGAGGATCGCTTGAGCCCAGGAGTTTGAGGTTGCTGTGATAACTCACAGCCCAGGAGTTTGAGGTTGACGTCGCGGCACTCTAGCCCGGGCCACGGAGTGAGACTCTGTCTCAAAAAAAAAAAAAAGTAGAAATACAAAGTAGGCTATTCAAACATAATCTAATAGCACCATGCCTACACAGAATCTAACCTAAGTCCCTAAATAAAACCCTAGAGAGGCTTCTCTTTACTCTTCAACCTCCCTACAAGGCCTAGCACCATTTGGCCACTGCCCACCTCTCCAGTCCCTTCTCCCACCAAATTCTTCCTCTTCCAGCTCCATATATAAGGCTTAAGTCCCTGGTCCTCTCCATGGACTCTGCCATCAGAGGGTTTCTGCCCTGCAGTTTGCTCTAATTGGAACACTCTTCCCTTTCTATGCATCTTGCAGATCTCTGTTCAAATGTCACTTCTGTGATAACTAAAACCCTCGTCACAGCTGTACGTCACATATGTGTGATTATTTGATTATCATCTGCTGAGGACAGGGACCATGTATGCATTTACTCTCTCCCATGCCCACTGCCAACCAAAGTGCCTAATACCAAGTAAGCACTCATACTGTATTTGCTGAATAAATAAATGAACAGTAAGCCCATAAGAAAGCAACAAAACACCTTAAGAGGTCTCCTTAAGAGTTTATGCATCTTCACAAATACATCTTTGGTTGGATGACCAAAGTAATTGAGCCTAAAATCCCTATTAAACTTAAAAAAAAAAGTCAATTTAGATGTCTATATAAATTGCTCTGGCTCTTCTATGTCTCAAGGCAAATGCTGAGCATCAAAGGCTGATACGCTAAAAACACATACACACACACACACATACACACAGCATAACTACTGATTGCTAAGTGACTGTTGTTTTTGGTATTTCCTGACAAAGTGCCTGCTATTAATACATAGGAAGCACTCTGGAAACATCAGTCAAATAAATAAAAAGCAACATTTCACAAAACTCTTAAATATGTATCAAACAGTAACTACTGTCTACTTAAACTGTGATGTTACATATAAGACCAACTACAGAAGTAAAGAAAAGAATCTCTATGTGACAACGCTCCCTGCTAGTAGCCTCAATATTTTAGATCTCAAACAAGAAAAATGCCAGACAGATTTGTACAGAGAGTATTTGAAAGAAACAAATCAGAAATCAAAGTTGACTTTAGAGCTTTAAATAGGACTTTAAAATGCCACGTGGAACTATTTTCCAAACCCTTAAGAATATAAGGAAAGAAATTATTTAGGACTTGCTCTCCCCTCCAATACAAATACAAATTATATTTATGCTTTAGAGACAAATCAAGTCCTATTTAATCCATAAACATATTCCTGAAAACTCCCGCCCATATGGATTTCTCCACCCTCTGACCTGCTATATCTGTACCGCATATTTTGCATTTAAACAAATGCGATTTTATTGTTTTCCTAACAATTTAATGTGTTCAGTCTCTTATTTTTTCTATATCAAGTGCACATAATTCTATAAGTGTTGAATAAATATTTATTGAAGCAAAATGAAATTATACAGTTTTGAATTGATTTTGGTATATAAACTCCTACATTTTATTCCCAAATAATGTCATTTTGTTACCTCCCAAAAGGAAGGCAGATTGGTCTGGTATAGTTACAATTCCCAGAGATTGTTCACATGCCTGTTTTAGCTCCATGATCACTAGATTAAATATAAAGCCGTTATCCAACAATATTCAAATAAGGCTTACAGTTTTCTCAGTACTATTAGTTCAAACTCAAGTAAGGGAAGTTTTCAGTGCCATAGACTTTTCAAATGGAAATCAGGATTATTAACAACACCTGCCCGTATTTCCGTCAACGTAGAAAATTTCACTAGAAATCTTTCTCAAACCTATTCGGTCCCTGAGAGACTTCCAGAATATAGTAACTACATCTCATTCACAATTGTAAAGCTAATTCCCCGGAAAAGGATCAGTTCGAAATGTACAATCAAATGAAGCAGATAAATAAAGCAGATAAATACGATCAATAAAGCAGATAAAAGTATATCACTTTGGAAAGCGCAAAGCAGCAGGCAAACGTCAAGTACAGTGTTATAATTAAGCAGCTTCTGTTCAAGATTCCCGAGGCGCCCCATCCCTGCGGTCCCGAACATCTTGATCAGGACCCAAGAGAACGCGTGCATAGGTGACCCAAGCCTCAAGAAGCGTCCTCTCTACAGCAACAAGCTCTAATTCTTGGCTCCCCCCACGCGCACCATACAAGGCTACGAGGGAGGGCCCGCGGGGCCCAGGAGCTAGGTGCGCGGCCTAGGAGGCCCGGCGGCCAGGAGCGGGGGGCGTGGGGAGGACAGGGGCGACGCCTGGGCCAGGGAGCCACGCCAGAGGCGGAGCGCGCTCACCGCAGGCCGCCGCCGCAAGTGCTGGGCGAGGCGCCACGGAGCCCCCGAGGACCAGATCCGGGGGTCTGTCCCGGATGGGGCGTGCGGCGTCGGAGGGGGTGGTGGCGGGGGGCAAGGAAGGGCCTCACCGTTGCTCCCGGGGGGCTGGCGCCGCCGCGGTCCAGCGGTTGCTAAGGAGAATCCTCTTCCGGGTCACGGGAGCTGCGTTCTACAGAGCAACGGTGGCTGGGTGGGGCCAAGAGCGAGGAGCGCGGGACTAGTGCTTGGCAGAGAAGTTGGTCACCCGCGGTTCTTCTGTGGCTGGGGCGAAAGAGCCCTGAGGGGGCAACTCGCTGCAATCGGCGGCTCCAAGCTGGGCGGCTTCTGAGACGCCTTCCTGCCCGGCCCTGGCTGGCTCCGGCACCCTCTCCCACCCGCGGGTGCCTTCCACCTCAGGCCGCCAGGGCTGCGCTCCATCGGGCCGGGTCTGACTCCGAAGTTGCTGCCGACCCAGAGGTGTCCTGTGTAGTCCCCGGTGTAGCCACGCCGGCCCTTTTCTAGTTGCAAGGCTTTACTCATTCTTTCATTTACTCAGCACTTTTTTATTGGACAACTGCTAAGGGCTAGGTGCTGTAGTGGCACTGGGGATGCAGAGGTGGGCAACCCAGGCGCGGTCTCTGCCTCAGCATGTGCAGGCTGGCAGCCGAGCAGGTAGACCGTGTCCTGCCCTCTGAGATAAGCGAAGTAAAGGAGACTATGGCAGCCTGCCCAAGGGAGGCCTTCCCAGACACAGTTGGGGAAAAGCTGATGATGGATACTTCAACCAAGTAAACAGGGTAAGGAAGAGTGTTTCAGGTAGGCGCGGGGGAGAAATCCACTGAAAGTTCAGTGTGGGCTGCCCAAGGAAAAGTGTGTAAAGAAGAGATACTAGCTAAGGATGGAACCTGGGGAACACCAATAGTGTAGGTCTGAGCAAAAGAAAAATCTCCCAAAGAGCAGCCAGAATATTCCAGAGAGCAAGAGAGGAAAGAATGTCAGCGAGGAAGTGGCCGCCATCTCAAATGCTGTGGAGATCAAGTGTCCAATGGTGACCATAGAAAAACCACAATTCAGGAATACGATGTCAGAGTTGGCAGTGACTTAAATTTGTGTGGTGGAGGAGTCCACCACTATGTTGAAACAAAGAAAAAAGGGATATTAAATTGTTCCTGAATTTCTAAATGTTTTACAAAGCACTGTAATAGTATAAGCAAAATTCAGGATTCCCCTGCTGGGAACTGTGAGCTCCTTGAAGGTGGAAAATATTTAACTTTGAATCTGCAGTGCCTGCCACACACATAGGCCTCAATCAATATTTGTTTAAAGAATGAATGGACACAAGGGACCCTTGGTTTTTAGTGTTCACACAGATCTTTCTAGAACCCTCTGCAAAACTGTGATATAGGCAAAACTTGTCTATTCAAACTGTAGGGATTGGCGGGGCAGGGATTCCATGGCTAGGAGAGGGGCCAGTGGAGACAGGAATGGGAAGACAGAAGAGGAAGAGAAGAAAAGATTGAAATAATAAAATCTGGGATTTCAGGACTAGAAATGGGAGATGATGTCAAGAAAACCAAAAATAGAAGTAAGAGTAAAAGAGCAAGGACAATAGCAAAGGAAGGAGGGAGGGCCAAGACAATTATTATACATAAGTTCAAGAGGCAGATCTCATTTTGATTGGCCATATGGCAGAAAGTATAGTATCAGCTGTTGTGTAGGCTACAGGGCTGGGGTGGGCATATCCCTGTGCCCTCTAAGTGGAGTGAGCCCGGGCTCCCTCACATAGGCTAAAGGAAGACCACAACACAGTCTGGATATGAGACTTCCCCCACCAGCATACATCCGGTCCTTCACTATATTCCCATTATAACAAGTATTGCAATAAGCTCTCTCAAAAGAGTTAGAAATAATATTCTTCTCTGAAACACTATAAATCTGTCCGCAATGGATGTGACCAGCTAATTGTGTGGGTAAACCAATAAATTCAAAGTACATGGGTGAAGAATTTAGAAACACCAAAATATTACTCAAGGGGGCTGTCTCAGCCTATTAGGGCTGCTATAACGATAATATAGACTGGTTTATGAACAACAGAAATCTGTTTATCATGCCAGGTGTGGTGGCTTATACCTGCTACTTGAGAGGCTGAGGTGAGAGGCTCACTTGAGGCCAGGAGTATGAGACCAGGCTGGACAACATATCAAGACCCCATCTCAAAAGGTAAAAACCTATGAGTAAATTTGTTTATCACACTTCTGGAGGCTGGGAAGTCCAAGATCAAGGCACAAGAAGATTCAGTGTCTGATGAAGACAGACACTCTTACCATAGTGAGGTTCATAGTCTGCCATCTTCTCACTGTGTCCTCACATGGCAGTAGGGGCAAGGGAACTCTCCAGAGGCTCTTTTATAAGGGTACTCATCCCATTCATGAGGACTTCATTCATATGATCTAATTGCTTGCCAAAGACCCCACATCCTAATACCATCACATCAGGAGTTAGAATTTCAGCATATTAATTTGAGCATGGCGGGGGAGGGGGGAACACAAGCATTCAGTCTATAGCAGGGACCTAAGTGCAATATCAGGAAAGTAGAACCAGAAAGTGTTATAGTTTGGTAAAGGGAAGCTGAATCAATTGTTTTGTGAACAAAAGGGACCAAATCAACTCAACATAGAAAAGGGAAGGCCTGAATACATGAGGAGATAAAGTCTATTCCACATTCTCCTGGCAGCCTTGAACATAGCATCTATTCTAAAGGACTATGTTCTGTTGAAGGGTCAAGGTGATGTGTTATTCTCTACTTGGCTAGGGTTCTGGGAGATCTCATTGGAGTCTCAAGAGATGGAAGTTTATCATTGTTATGAAGGGCATATAGAGAAATGCAGGGTGTTGTGGGTAAACTCTGCACTTCAGGGTGATTTGGGCACAGAAGGTTCCAGGTGATGTGCTTTGTCTGACTTTGGTCTCTGGATGATGAGTGACCAATATGATCTAAAATGCTTTGAGGGGCCGGGCGCGGTGGCTCACGCCTGTAATCCTAGCTCTCTGGGAGGCCGAGGCGGGCGGATTGCTCGAGGTCAGGAGTTCGAAACCAGCCTGAGCAAGAGCAAGACCCCGTCTCTACTATAAATAGAAAGAAACTAATTGGCCAACTAATATATATAGAAAAAATTAGCCGGGCATGGTGGCTCATGCCTGTAGTCCCAGCTACTTGGGAGGCTGAGACAGAAGGATCGCTTGAGCCCAGGAGTTTGAGGTTGCTGTGAGCTAGGCTGACGCCACGGCACTCACTCTAGCCTGGGCAACAAAGCGAGACTCTGTCTCAAAAAAAAAAAAATAAATAAATAAAATAAAATAAAATGCTTTGAGGAATGCCACCCAAGACCCAGAATATGAGTGGAGGACTGAAATTACCATGCCCTACGGGTATATGAAAGGAGCCATCTGCTGCCTCCAAAAGATTTCCATTTTGGGGAGGGATTGTGTCTGTATCTAGGCAGCTCAGACTGCTGTAACAAAGTGTAACAGTACAAAGTATAGACCACAACAGAAATTTGTTTCTTATAGTTCTGGAGGCTGGGGAGGCCAAGACTAAGGCACTGTCAGATTCGGTGCCTGGTCAGGGCCCACTCTCTGATTCATAGACAGCTCTCTTGTCATGTCCTGACTTAAGAGGCCTCTTATAAAAGCACTAATCACATTCATAAGGGCTCCACCCTCATGACCCAATTGCCTACCAAAGGCCCTATCTCCAAACACTATCACATTGGGATTGGGTTTCAATATATGCATTGGGGGTGGGGGGGGTGAGAGCACAGGCATTCAGTCTGTAACAGTCTGTTATGAAGTCCAAGACTTCCTGAGAGTTTAGGGGTTATAGACAGCTATAGTTGCTCCAGAACTTTCTAGTCCCAACCCGACCTTGATTCCTAACCACCACCACACCTAACCTGGTCTTCTCCTGGACTACCATCCACGAACTCGCAAAAGCCGATGCGATGGAGTCATCCATGACTCCACTTTCCTTCCTCACTACATCCTCACCTCGACAATCCAGTCCATCAGCAAGCCCTATAGATCTGTAGTCCCCGACCCCTAGGCCACAAAGCTCCTCAACAGCCCCTGCCCCACTGTGGAAAAATTGTCTTCCGTGAAACTTAGGAAGAGGGGGCACACAGCAGGAGGTGAGCAAAGCTTCATCTGTATTTACTTCTGCTCCCCATCGCTCCACCACCATCTGAGCTCTGCTTCTGCCCCCATTCCCCAGTCTGGAGAAAAATTGTCTTCCATGAAACCAGTCCCTGGTGCCAAAAAGGTTGGGGACCACTGCTATAGATGGTCTCATTCCCCTGCCCAATTCCAAGCTGCCACCAATGACAGAGAAGTGAACAACCAAGCAACTTGGGATCAATAAAAAGTGTTGCAACCTCAGAGATGAGCCAAGGTGATAAGGGGGGGCGTGTAAGCATGAATGCTTGTGTGTATGAAAAATAAACAGTGCAATGACCAGATCAAATACCACAAGAATGTCAAAGAGATAAGATGGAATAAATTCACTCAACACCATGTATCAATTGCCTTCCACATGCTAATTTTGTCATAAAGGAAGTAAAAGATAATGAAAAAACTATTAAATCAGATAAAGAAAAACTAACGTAGAATCAAATGCATTCCAAGAACCAAAGTGAAGGAGTATTTGCTGGCTTAGGATTTGACTTTGGGAGGCCCCAGCTCAACTGTCAGATGCATTAAAGTGCCAGGATCCTGGTCTTCCCCCGTGTGGGCTGAGAATGCTATGGGTGACCATCTTTGCCCTATCGACTACTCTTGGCTTCCTCAACTGCAGCAACTAGACCCACCCAGACCACTATTTACAACTTGCAGTCTTTGGCTAATTATTGTCTGCTTTTGTTCTTGCCTCACTTTAAACTTAATTTTTAAAAAATAAATTTTCTTTTCTTTCTATTTTTATGGCATTTTTTGTAACTTTAAAAATCTAGGCCTGGCTCAGTGGCTCACACCTGTAATCCTAGCACTCTGGGAGGCTGAGGCAGGCGGATCACTCAAGATCAGGAGTTCCAGACCAGCCTGAGCAAGAGCGAGACCCGTCTCTACTAAAAATAGAAAGAAATTAATTGGACAACTAAAAATATATAGAAAAAATTAGCCAAGC